TCTGGTGTGTAACTGCGTGTCCGTTTACATTTTGTCCGCATTTCAACTTGAGGGTCACAAAAGCTAGAAAGCTGAAACTTTAGAAGAGTATTTCCTCCCTGCGTGTGGCATTGCAGATAAATTCAGCTTTTACATAAGCTTAGATCTTACGTACGGACATGTGAAAGTTTTGGCACAAAAACGAATAACGCAGGAGCAATGGAAACTTGGAATATAAAATTTAACAGCAACATTCCAAGCCCATATGCGATTCCAAAAATTTAAATTTATCTTCCACTTATGCCTGAATCTCATGCACGGACAAATGGGTGTTTGGCGCGAGGTTTCCTGCGTTGGGTCATAACAGTGGAGAGCTGAAAATTTAATGTGATGCTTCCTCAAATGTACAGTCTTGGAATTTAAAATTCGACTTTCAAGTACGCTTGTGTCTCAAGTTCGGACGCGTAAGATTTTAAGTGGAAAATTTTTCTTTAGGAAACTGGACAAAACAAAAAGCTAAAATTGTTTAGGGATGAACAAATGTTCATGTGCGAAACAACAAATTTGAATCTGACTCTAATGAAGTTGCATCCGTTTCACGCATAAGCATGTAATTTCGTATTTTTGCGCATACGAAACTGTAAAGCAATTAATGTTTCCAACAGCAACCACTGCTTATCCCCTTTTCCTTTAGTTTATGTCATTCATTCAAAACGCAAGTTTTTTCAGTAAGTTGGCTAATCTGTTCACACTAGGAGTTCACTACGGTACGACGAGACTACGCCGCTTTAATTTGCAGTGAAACCTTATATTATCGTTACCTGTAGCAGAGTAGAGAAGTAACTTAGTGCATTTTGATTTACAAAGATAGCTTGTACTACCTCGAGTTATGGCAATGTCCATGAGTTTCAGGGTATATTACGTGTGTTTTCAAAAAGCGGATTGATGCTACACTCATTTCAAGGAGCTTTGCCACATTTGCCGCTGCCTAGCTTAAACGAAACTCTTGAAAAGGTTAAAGTCTTCGAAGTATTTTTGTGACCATAAGCGCAGTCTAGCGAGGGAGAAAGCATGTAAACCAAAAAAAGAAATCAAGCAAGGGTGTTTTCAAATGCTGCTCCCGGATGTTGTCATTCTTCACTAGAACTGCACATACTGCAGCATCAGAAAAGCTATCTGTCAGAAAATGGCAGCATAGTTACTTATGACTGCTTATGAACATGAACTGTAAGATTTAGTTTGTGTTCAGTTTAGTAAGTTTCTGTCTCTTCTGTGCATTCGACAGCTCAGTCACAAAAAAAGAGACCGAATTATAAGATTTAGCACCTTCGCACGATGCGCCCCATTTGTACTGAAGAAGAATACAGTGAACTGGCTGAACTGGCCGAGAATTTTGGGCGCGGTGTTGGACGTCGCTTGCAGTGGTACTTGATTGTCAAGTCTTTCCTTTCGATCAATTACGTCTCGGACTGGTGGGAGGAATTTGTTTATCTAAGACAGCGTTCTCCAATCATGATCAATAGGTATGTCTGGAAATTAAACAAAGCTGTCCAGTGGTTCTCCGATCCGAAATGTTAGACTTTTTATGCGTTTCATGCTGTGTAGCAGCAGTACAAAACGCATATTGTCACGGAATTATGTGTGTGTGCGTGTGTGTGTGTGTGTGTGTGAATATCGGCAGCAAGTTCTCCGCAGTTTTCAACTCGGGAACCACAAAAGTTAAAAAGCTGAAAATTTGGGGGGGGGGG